GGGGGGGGGGGGGGGGGGGGGGGGGGGGGGGGGGGGTTGTGTGCGTGCGGCGCGCGCGGGCGCACGTGGCGCGTTGGTGCTCGCGTGTTGTGTGTGTCCGTGCACGCATGACGCACGCGTGTGGTTGGTGGCTGTGAAGGGCACGTACGACGCATCGTGTGGATGCATGCGTGCCCGTGTTCACGCACGCGTGTGCAACTGGGGATGCAACCTTTGGATGCGATGCTTGGGTTGTTAGGGGTAGTGTGGTTAGCTCGTGGTTGGGCTCGATGATCTTTAAGGTCTTTTCCAACCTGAGCGATGGTATGACAGCGTGCCAACGCACGCATGCACGCATGCACAGACACACAGTCGCATGCACGCACTCATGCATGTGTGCCCCCGTGCATCGGTCATGCATGCGTGCCCACCACGCGTACACCTGCCACGTACAAAGGCACACGGGCAGATGGTGAAATACACACACATCCCTCCTGCACCGACGTGCACGTCGACATGTCACACGCACAAATGCACACACAAGCATGAATACATGCCCTCCTGCATCAGCACACGGGCACTGGTGCATGCACGCCCACTGCACGTGTACGCACTGTGTACACAGTCACGTGCACACACACACGCACACCCCCCCAGGCTGTGCTGGCAGCCCGGCTGTCCCCCCCCCCCCCAGCAGCACACACTGCGGCAGGACAACGGCCCGTTGTGTGCATTGATGCCCCAGTTCTGGCATCTCCAGCTTAAAACGGCGCCACGAGGTGCAAACTGTCGGTGCACGGAGACCTCGGTGGGCACAGGCGTGGGGATGTGCGGGGGGACAAAACCCTCAAAATAAATAAATCAATCAATGAAAACCCCAAATCATTGCAAGGATTTGGCTTTGTTGTCAAATCCAGGTTTTGTTCAGCGACCGAAGAGAAAACCTGTTGTTTTTTGTTTGTATTTCCCCCCCCCCTCCCCCCGCCCCCCCAGGAGAACAGGGACCCTAGGGGGTGACAATGGGTGCGTTTGTTACGAGGTGCAGTTGGCCATAGGGTTGCAGCTGTTGCTGTGAGCACTTGGGTCACAGCAGAGCAGAGCATGTGCTGCTTCTCGCCCGTGGGGCTGCTGTCCCTGTGCCGCCCAGGGACTCCACTAATCCCTGCTTAGCTTTATCCGTGTGCTGCATCTGGAGGGCTTCAGCCTCACAACGGAGGCGTGCGGCGGATTTGTCTGTCTGGATTAGTGCATTTGTGGGGTTTTCAGCACCGGGCATCCCTTACTATTTAACCCTCTCCCTGCTAGCACTAGCTGGAAGAAAGGGTAGGGTGAGTGTGATCTTTTTTTTTTTTCTTTCTTTTTTTGTGCTGTGATGTGCACAAAAGAAAATACTCTTTTTGCTAAATTTTGCACTCCCACCAGGGTCTCCCCTAACCTCCGTGGTTCCTATGGCCTGGGACAGCAGCTGAGCTGCAGCTGCCAGGGGTGTCAGTGCCTCAACACCACACACATCCCCCCAGCAATCCGATCCCCCATGTCACACAGATGCTGCTTGCTTTTTGGCATTGAAAATAACTCGCAGCCATCCCCAAGGCAGCTTTTGGGGTCCACGGTGATCCCAGCACCACCCGTTTGCAATGTCCACATCCTTTGGCTTGCCTTCATGGGAGGATTGCATGGTGTTGTTTCACCTCCTCTGCAAAACCAAGGTGAAATCCTTTGGGATAACAGAGCGGGATCCATCTGTCAATTGAAAAAGCTGATGCACCGCCCTCATTCCCACCTGGGTTGCCTTGCAGATCTGCACCAAGATGGCCAGATGATGGCCTAGCAAAGAATGCATAAAATTGCACTTACACCAAATTTTTGTCCTGTGAGGGTACAACACGATGGGCTTGCTCTGCCTGTAGCCAGGAGCTGCAAACAGGCATGAACACTAACATACAGACAAGGCCAGGTGCTGTGTCCTACCCAGCAATGTCATTTTTTTTCTGACATGGGGCAGTTGTTGCACAGTGGGAGCTCTGCCCATGTGTCCCAGCAGAGACTTGGGATGGGGATATTGGGACCGCTTTGGTTTTCCTCTGTTCTGAAGGTTGCAGCCGAGGATGCGTCCGCAGCTCGTTCCTATGGTGCCATCTAGTGCCCAGATTTCCCCAGCGAAAATGTCGGTTTGCATTAAATTGCATCAAAAACCACTGTGAAGCACTACAACAACATTTTTTTTTCCTTGTCTTTTTTCCGTGGTGGGACGGTTGGGTCCTTGGTAAGCATGCTTGCTACAATGTGCAAAACCCATGAAAGATTACTGCCCCTATTCTTCCTCTCAATGAAGGCATGGATCAAGGAAGACAGCAGCCCTACAGGATGAGGTTTTAGCAACCTGATACCACTGGAACATCCACTGGGTGCTTCCATGATATGGGGAAGGTCCTTGGATGCTCCTGAGAAGTGTGGAGGAATCAATCTTCGTTTGCAGTGGGGGAGAGGAACTTATCAGTGTTTTCCATTTGCTGAGTCTTGTCCCAGACACTCTGCCTTTTGAAGTCATCCCTCTTTTCGTTAGGATTCGTTGTGTTTTGTAAGCTGCTCTGTGTGTCTTTAACTCCCACTCTTCACCTTCCCATTCTTTTTTTCCGTATGGCTGCAACCCAACCTAATGTCTTCACATCTGTAGGCTGTGGTGGGCTTAGAACCCAACTCATGGGAGGACTGAACTCATGGGATAACCCATAGGAGGACCCATGCCACAAACCAAAGAAAACCCGTAGGAGAACTCATGGAGAACCTCTGGGAAGACCCAAAGAGAACCTATGAGAGTATCCAAGGAAAATCCATGGGAGAATCCCAGGAATGGGAAACCCTTGGGAGAAACCAAGTGGAACTCAAGGGAGGACACAAGAGAACCTGTGGGAGAATCCAGGGAAAACCCATGGGAGAACCCAAGGAGAACGTGTGAGAGGACCCATGGGAGAAACCACCTACGTCCTTGTCTCGACTGAGGATAAAACTGAAAAAAAGATGGGAAAAATAAAGCCTGAGTGAATTAGGAACGAGACATTGTGTGGTTCCACACCTCACTCAGGAAGCACTCTCCCATATCATGTCCCAGGTAGTTGTGTGGCAGAGCCCGGGGTGGTGATGTGGGCTTTGGTTGTACAACAGGATGACAGCTGTCACCAAGACTTTGCAATGGCAAACTTTCTTTTTCGAGGGGTTCTTGGAAGGTGCCAACAATGCCAATTTGTGACCACAGCAGCTTATAGAAATGTGCTAGGGGGACTCGAATGCTTTGTGTGGAGATCCCACAAAAGTGCCTGGCTGGCTTTGGGGCACATGCCAAAGGAAAACACATGTGCTCCTCAGTTATTAAAGGGAATTCAAGCAATACATGGTCATCTGAGCTGCTCCGCACCTTCTCCGAAGCCTACAGACACCAAAAAGCCACGGGGCACTTGCAGGTACTAAGCACAGCTTGAAATTTCCAGCTCTTACCTTTCTGGAGAGAAAAAGCTGGGAACAGTACCCTGAGCCTCCCACACTAAGGGTGAGCTCCCATCGCTGTCTGTCCGTCCTGATGTTGGGATGGGATAGGAAACGTGGCACTGAGAGCCCAGGAAAAGACCCAACATGTGAAGAAATGAAAACAATTTGACCATATACCTCAAAACTGGATATTGTTTGTTATTTGGGGGTTTTGTCACACATGGTCTGGGGAGAGTGTGAACAGATGGAGCCGAATAGGAAGTGCAGCCATGTGGAAAAGCAATAGAATTACCCCTTTGTGAATCTGTCCTATCCCATGCCAGGCAGGATGAGCTTTGAGTGAGAACACGCAGCACACTGCAAGAGGGACAGACTTCCCATTAGAGTCTTAAGAGCAACACTCAGCCCAACCAAAACCAGAAAGGAGGTGGGGAAAGTTTTGGGGGTCCTGGATTATGGGCCAGCTGAAGGCTGTCTGTCACTGTTTGAAGCTGTGGACAAAGTAGATGTGATAGATGTGATCCTCAGCTGCACAAGATGGGGTATTTTGTCAGAGCTGCACAGAGGAAACACAATAGGAAAGGCACTGGCCGAGCTGCACTGCATTCTTTTGTGCAGTAATGAAAAATGGATTTTGCAGAGAACTCTTCTTTCTTTTCCATCGTTTTGCCTTGTTTGCATCAAAGGTGGAAGCAAACACAGGATTTGTCTGCCACAAATTTTGCAGGAGTGCTGCTCCTGACCTTGGAAAGAGAGGAGTGTTGGAGCTCCATCCCCGCGCTATTCTGGAAACACAGGAGCTGGCACCCACAAACTACAGCCCTAAAAAGAAGAGGGGAAATACAACTAGTATGTCAGCAAACTGCACTGATGCACACTGCAAAGGACACGATCTGCAGACCCTCAAGGGAAGGGGAGAACTAAACTGCTCAGTAGAACTTTTGCAGTTCCCTTTTCAATCTTTACAGGCTGCAGATGCTGACATCCATAGGCTGTGGGTATCTCCTGGGTGCTGGGGAAATTGCCTCTCATCCACATCTGCAGTGCTGAATTCAGGAGTGCTGTAAGCCCATCCTGGAGCTGAAAGGGATTATTTTGGGGATGTGTCAAAGAGAGCCGTGCACCGGTTGAAAATGGAAGGAAGAAATCTCCAACAAGACAGCGTTGTTTAAATAATACACTCTATTTTATTTCGTCTTAAAATAGTTTAACCTTTATGCTACAGACTTGTTTCAAAAAAACGGAAGGTCTCATCTTGCACCAAAAATATATATTTTTTTATATATTTATATAACACTCTGTTTGCTTATTTTTTTTTTTTTTTTTTTCTCCGAAGACCATTAAATACTAGATGGAAAAATGAGAACTAAATAATGAGTGTCGAAAAGAATCAATTTTTTTTTTTTTAATTTTTTTTTTTTTTTTAAGCTACAGTCGCACGTTTTGAACATTTAAATTCTAAGCAATTATTTGTCTTTGCTACAGAAGATCCCACGTTCACTCTCAAGCAATTCAGGAACTGCTGAACCAAGAAGGACGTGAGCCAATGCACAGTGCAGCTGAGGGGAAACCCCCATCAGCTCCAGTGGGTTCTGGATCAGGCCCTGCGTGCATTGGTTCTTGGCCATACAATGGCTGAACATTTCACTTTCCTGCTGAGAAGAGCAAAACTGTCCAGGCACCTTTTGCTCTTATTTTTAATACAAAAAGAATAAAACAACAATAATAATCATCATTAAAAAAAAAAAAAAAAAAAAGCAAAATGAAAACACTTCCCTAGCTATCCAGTGATTGTGTTTTTCAGGCCACTACCTTTCTCAAATTTGATAAGGACAAAAGAAAATACGTAGTGTTTTAAATAAAAGAAGACCTGCATCGGACTACAATGCATGGATTGTTGAAACAAATACAGTGCACAATGGGAGGAAGTCTGGTTAGGACACGGTTGTTATTATATATACATGGAGGTCACATAATATACAAACTTTAAAGAAAAAAAAAAAAACAGTTTGCATTTTAATGGCAGGACTACCGATGGGTCCCTGCAGCGTTCATTGAAACTGATCTCTACAAGACTTCATGGAACAGCAAAAAGCACTAAACCATGGTTCCAAAGTTGCAGTTTGTTACCAGCCACACCAACACTCATTGGGTTTTGGTGGTCTCTTTTTTCTCCCTTTTTTTTTTTTTTTTTTTTTTTTTTTTTCCTTTCTATTTTTGGCTCGCAGAGAAAAATTGGTGGGAGCCAAATGTATTTAACAACAACAAAAAAAAAAACAAACAGACAACACAAAAAGGAAATGTAACTCCCCATGATGTAATTATCCCCTGTTTCAGCCATAACTGGCCAAAAAAAAAACCAAAAAACAAAAAAACAAAATCCTGCTGATGGAGCTGTGTAAAATTTCCATCAGGAACATTTCGAATACAAGGGAGTATTTTAATTGCACAACAGACATTTAAAGTGAATATCAACCTGCAGAAGTCTAATCTTTGGTTTTTGCCTGGAGAAAAGGCTCAAAATGACAGATTAGGGCTAAGAATTTCCATACGTGCTGCTGAAACTGGAGCCCACTGAAGTGCACAGTTCTGCTCGTCTCGGTCAAGCAAACAAAGTGTTTCCTGGATTGTACCCTAAAAGCAATTCCAAAACTAGGACAAGAGACGTGAGCTGCAGGGAAATGGTACAGATCTGGTCAAAGAAAAGACCACAACCTTATGCTCTGATCCAGCAATACCTTTATGGGGCAGAGTCTGAAGCACGTGAAGCATAGGTTGGAGAAGACCTCAAAGATCCCCAAGTCAAACTCCAACCCATCCTCACCGTGCCTACTAACCAAGTCCCCACGTGCCACATTTATGTGTTTCCTGGGAACATGGACTCTGTCACTTCCCCAGTGGCCCCACAACTTCAGGAAACTGTCTGCGATTAACACTATGCATCTGTTAAAGTGCTGTGCCAGACTGGGACTTCACACGTGTTTTGAGATGGTCAACGAAAGCAAATGAGCAATAGCAGAAATGAAGATTAGGAGCAAGTATGTCTCCATTCTCTCCTTTCCCTACTCCAGGCAAGATTCAGAAATAGGGAAAAAGTTTGTATACATTTAAAAAGCAGACGGATGTTGGGTCTTTTTATTACTTATCATGTTCTTGTGCTTTTGCAATGGACAGCTGCTAGACAGTTTCTACTACCGCTGCTCTAAACCATAACAAGCCGTGGGATGTGATCAGTGAAACACAGTAGTCAAGTAGACAGAAGAGTCAGCACTGAAAAGAGTGTAAACTATAAATTATATTGAAAATAAAAGTCCTTTAATTAGAAGCTGTTCAGTGCATATGTTATGGGCCTTTTGTATTCAAGACAGTCCCTCCTGCGGGTAACACAACCAAATCATCTCAGATATAAATACTCCTGGCCCAGTTTTCCAAAGTGTTGAATACCTCCAGGTCCACTGAAACCAGTGAGGACACAGCATTTCTCAAAACCACTGATGCTCACACTGCAAAACACTAACTGCTACTTACAAACTCAATATACTGATAAATTAAAAATGTTCTGAAGTTGGAGGCGGGGATGAGTGGGAAGACGTAACTTTGCACACAATGATTTCTTCAAATTAACACTCAAATTAGTAAATATGGATGTGTCTTAAATTTGGAGCTACTGGGTTTTAATTCAGGAAGGAATCCTCCCTTAAGAAGGCAAGAACAAGAAAAAAGATTTAAGTGATATTAAAATTATACTGCATTCTTATGGAAATAAACAGAAAACAAAAAACTTCATGGGCTTGAGACTCATAATGCCAGGAATGGGGCTTCTGAAGCTGAAGCTATGACTTCTGTGCCACAAAAGGAGAAGGGATGGGGACAGAAACACAGTGACACGGCATTACAGTAGATATTTGCGCCTGGTATCCTCATCCAAAGTCAGGTCTACTACTTCTGGGGGAGAAGACCAATTCTGCTGGGGAGTCACAGCTGTCCATGATTGTGTTTGCTGAGCGTTAATGTAGTGAGAGCTCGAGCCATGCTTCCAGGAAGACACACTCTGGATCACACCTCCCCTCGGATGAACATACCTGTAGCAAGGCAAAAAGCAAAAAAGCATTAAAGCTACTACCGAATTCAGGCACAAGATTCTTAGCTGCAGTGTTTCATCCCTTATACATCTTATTAACACATCCCTCCCCAAAATTTCATTGGTGTTTTCCCATTTGCAGGGTCCACGCCATCTTAAAAAGCCACTGATCTGTAAGTTCACCAAGCTGAGACCAGACTTAAAGTCATCCTTTGGGAAAAGAGGGGAGAGGGGCTGGATTCTGCCAGCAGGTGCAAATGCATGGATCTCAAGGATCCTGGGGAGTGCTGTCCCACCATGTACACTGCCACGCATTATTCAGAAGCATCCAGTTGGCAGTTTTACTGACTGGAATCTTAAAAAGAGACAAACTTGAAGTGAGGCTCGGAATCAACACCATGTTGCAGTAAGGACAAAGTGACAGCTTTATGACAGCAATACAGCAACGACACTTGATTTTTCTTGGGTCATCTTAGCTAAGATTCACAGAAATGCTGGGAAATGCTCCCTGCTAATGGCACAGCCCTACTTCAGCAAAACATTTCAGTGGTGATGCAATGGAACAGGTTGCCCAAGGAGGTTGTGGATGCCCCATCCCTGGAGGCATTCAAGGCCAGGCTAGATGTGGCTCTGGGCAGCCTGGTCTGCTGGTTGGCGACCACAATATAGCAGAGGGTTGAAACTAGATGAACACTGTGGTCCTTTTCAACCCAGGCCATTCTACGATGCTATGATTACAGTCAATGAAATGTATTTAAAGATAAGCATGCACTCAAGTGCCTTGCTGAAGTGCTCATCTACTGATTTGCACAGTACTTTTACCTATTGTATTGATAATAGATACTTGGGAAAGGAAGGGCAAGCTAATAAAAATGAAGGATTTTGTTATGCAAAGTGATGACAGGAATTAAGATGGTCCCTCCATTCATATCTGGAAATCTTATGCATCTGCTAGTAAAACTTTGCTCCTCTTGCTCCAGAAATGGTTTTGCTCCTCTAAGTGCTGGTGGTGGCTGCGTTCTTAAGCAGGACATTTTGGGCTGCTGGTAAACTATCTCTGACATTTACATTCTATTTAACTCAAACCAGCCCAGTTTAGTTTCTGCACATCTTCTGAGGTTATGCTCTTCTATTTCTTTTTTCATCTCTGGTTACAAAAAGTGAAACGGAAAGGAGAAGCTCATTCTCAGAGCTCTAATTCATCCAAATCTTAATGTCTCATTTCCTTCTCAGAAATGCTGTTTAGTTTTGGATGCTCAGAATGACTTTTTCATTATGTCTTCCATGTAAAAAATGCTTACTTAAAAAACGTATCTACAAAGAATTAGCAAAAAGAGATTGGAACTCTAACAAATAGAGGGGATTTTTTATTTATTTATTTATTTTTTTTTTTAAGCTTTAAGATGAAATATTTTAAAGCATTAACTGACAAGTAAAGATTGCAGCCAAAGCAAACTAAATACAGTGTTCCATCTCCGGGCCTATGGTCCATCCTTCTAACATAGAACAGTCCTTAACACTTAGGCAAGGCTAATGCTAACTTTTTTCCCTGAAGATGACAAAAAGCAGACTGTGAATTATCTCATGGAAATGATACATGGCAAAAAAAGAAGTGTTCATCCTCACGCAAATCAAACAAGCAGCCTATGACAAAATGTCCAATCAAATGTTAGCTTAGGGGATGTGCTTTCCACCTGAGCAGAAAGTAAAGGCAACAAAAATAAATAAAGAAGAAAAAAAAAACAACAACCCCAAACAGAGGAAGAGCGTTTTATATACATGCATTGTTTAAAAAATATTCAACTGGGTGAAAATTAAAGGAACTGAGGAACATATCATATCATATCATAGAATGGCCTGGGTTGAAAAGGACCTCAAAGATCATCTAGTTTCAACGCCCTGCTATGTGTAGAGTCACCAACCACCAGACCAGGCTGCCCAGAGCCACATCCAGCCTGGCCTTGAATGCCTCCAGGGATGGGGCATCCACAACATGACTTGATGTCCTACGTGAATGCCAAGGGATATTCTTAACAATGAGAAACGGCACCCATTCATTGGCTGTCTGAAGAACTAGAGATGGCAGACAAAGCTAAACCTATTCCAAGTGACAGCCCTGTCAGAAGCTCATCAGTACTTTGTAACTGCAGGCTTAGACCTGCAAGAGAAATACAACTCTGAATAGGATTTGAGCAATCAAAATGTGCAAATATTCAATGGAAACTGTAGGAACTACTCTTTGATCGATGACAAAGGGGTCACATGAAAAAAGGAAATCACAAGAAGAGTTTGATATACATCTTTCTTTGCTGAAATTATCTTGGACCCTGTCTAATAAACCTGATTTTGAACAGCAGCTCTCCCTGTACTTTAATTTCCCTTTCCTTTTCCTATACATGACAAACGTGAATGAGGCAAGCAGCAGCATAGAAGTTTGCTGTGGGGACCTCAAGCAGGAGCTTGATCCATGAAAAGACTGTCACAGTTCTACAAGCTTAGACTAAATCTTTTCTCCTTTAACACCTTAATATATATATATTTTTTTCCTATACCCAGCAGTGCTGGACTGCATCTACACTATCTGTGCAGGAAATTGGGTACTGCACACCTTGCTTCTTCTTTCCTCAAGAAAAGGAGAAGGAATTATGGAGAAAAGCTCTGTTCCTTCTCCCACGCACCCTTTTTCTGCTGGTTTTGTTCATATTGCCTCAAGACAAGCAAAATTCTAAAGATTTTAATCTTTATTCTGAAGATTAAGGGAGACGTCAAAAATGCTTACCGAGGTAGCAGCCAAAGCACAGCTGGATTGTTAATCACCAGCTTGGAAAGAAACCTCTGGCTTTCTTACTCTGATCTAGTTGGAGGCTCTGACCTAACTTGTGTCTTCTTAAGGAGCTGATCTTTAGGTTATCTTATCGCATCAATCACTGAAAGGTTGACAGCAGTTTTACTTCTACAATGACTGATCATTTAAACAAATTTAAATGCTTAAAGTGAATATTTTAAAGTGAAACAAGAACCTACATCATAATTTTGGTTTTATGTATTGGAACATTCACAGCACACACCTAAAACTGAACTTCTAATAAAGATTCCTAGTGTCTATAAACTTGGTATCTCAATGCTTGATATTTTAATATTTCACACATTTTGCCCACTGATATTTGATATCAAGTCCCAAGCTTAATCTAAATACATATGGCAATGATAACTGTTCTATAGAAAAACACATTCTGACGTCTGATGCTGTGAATCTTTTCCAACCTGAGTGATTCTATGTCACCATGACAAGGAGAACAGAAAAACAGAACAAAAAATCCACAAGTGTAATGTTCTCTACCTTTGGGGCATCGGTCATAGATGGATAACTAGAGAAGGGGAATTTAGCAATTCTTTCTTTATTAATTTTGGCAACACAGATATTCTGATGGAACTAATGAAATACTAAGACTGAACGTAAGTAAAAGGAATTCATACCTGGCATGCTCCTGAACTCCAACAATCTCTACTTCACTGTCAGAAGAGGTGATATTAATTTCTTCATTGATCTGGGTGTTACCAGGAGAGGGCTTGTCAATTGCAAGGAAGCCTGGATCCAAACGACCTATACATGGGACAAATGCAAACAGACACAATACTTAACAGCTTGCATGACTCAGAAACGAGTTGGAGAAGGACTTTCTCAGGCTAACCCAAAAAGATTGGAATACCATGATTGGAAAAGCTTTGATAGCTCTACTGATGGTGCTGTCACACAGATGTGAATGAGACATATTGTGTTAGGAGCACTTCCCTGCTTTAGGTGTAGTCAGGCTACACCTAAACTGCTGTTTTACTATGCTAAGAGCTAGACCGCATCTAAACCTCTCTGATTTACAGCAAGATGACAATCAGTAAATCAAATCCAGTGATACTATGGCAAATTATGCCTACAGGATGGATGGAAACATCACACATGCCAGGAAAATAGAAATATGGTGTCCCAAGCCAAGGGATGACAGTCAATGGGAAAACAGGAAAACAAAGCCACTGATTTCTGGCCATACTGCTTCACATCTGTTCCATTATTATTATTATGACAAATACTTGAAAGCAATTTTTTTTTTTTTTTTTTTACAAAAGCTCCACAATGCAGCAGTGTGGTTTTTCGTGATAGCTCCTCAACAGCTATCCAGTTCATCAGTCTGTGTTTATAAAGGACTTGTCTGACAAGAAAAAAAAGGACCTACTTCTACTGTCCCCCTTTAGCACTAACATGGGAGAAGCTGGGCAGCCTGGAAGGAGCTGAGACCGCCCGCCGACTGCTTGGGAACAGCTCACATATTGGATTACATGGGGGGGAAAACCATTTGTAGAGCATGACATTTTGTATTTACCTGATTATACTGTGTTATATATTGTGTTATATATGCTAGAGGGTGTGCCAGGAAAGCTTTCTATTGGCTGCTTACAATACTCAGAAAAGGTGGAGGAAAAATAGAGGGACAGAGTGAGCACTCTGTTCTCTGTTTTAGGAAAATGAAGGGTGTTGGTGCACAGGGTTGGGAAGGAGGCATTGGTATTGGTCTGCCTTTATATGCTAACTGCTAAGACTGATGCATGCCATTCTGCAACCTCTGCCCAGGGCAGAAGACAGAGCAGCCCTGAAATGAGTGCCCAGAGACATTACCAAGAGCCCCCAAAGACTGGGTTATTGACACAGCTTGAAGTTCAGACAATAAAGTAACTAGCAGTGGAGAAACCATGATTAGCAGAGTCAATATTACAACATGTAGCTGAGTGTAAATCAGGATTAGAGCACGCAGGCAGATTTACAGCCTCTGGTCATACAAATTTCACGCCTAATAACATGCCTACACACTTAATATCCTTGCAAGAACATTAAGATGACGCACAAAGGAGATGTTTTGTTTGCCCTACAACATCAGCTTGCAAAACAACCCAAAATATTTGCCTGTGCACAAAGATGTGATAGTGTGCCCTAGTAAGATTTTTCACATAGATTAAGCTTATGTTGCTATTTTCCCACGGGAACCCATCACGTAACATCTCCTAAGCTAGATACACGCTGAAGATTAATTTGGGAAGATGTAAGATGTGAAAGCTCCATTTTCCAAACGTGCAGTTCTAGGCATGGTATAAGGAAAGGCTGGTCCTGACAGACATAGTCAGCAGTGTGTAGAAGTACAAGGCTCTGGGGCAAAGTGTACACAGGAAGTAAAAAAATTCGTCCCTACGGATGCTTTCCCAGCACCAGGAATGAATTTGCCTGGACATGTTCCCACTGGCTCAAGGATAAAGAGTTTTCCTGAAGGGATCCATTTAGTTGGCAACCTCGTCCTTGCAGAAGTTTGTGCCCTTGGATATAGGAGGAAGGATGACAAATTTCTACCTGCATCACAGATTCGTACTCATAAAGAGGAAAGTGGAATGCTGCTTGGTAAGAAACCTTCATTTTTTGTTTCCTTACATTCCTTTCTTTCTGCTGAAGTACCAAGCCATCGGTGCTATGTTGGGCTTCAATAAGGCTGGAACAACATCCCAGCCACAATCTGTAGTGAAGGCAACACAACAGAGATCCTCGTATTCAAAAAGAGAACCTAGGTAATAATGGAACACCTCTTTCAAAATGTGCTATGCATTTGTATTTGTTTAAGCTTTATGGATGCTGTAAAGCAGCTCAGAGCTACCCGCTCTGTATAGCCTGCATTTAAAAAACAGAGTGAAACACAAAACTCTGCTCCACCACAAGCAAGCCTCCATGTCCTACACATGTGAAAACCTTAATGGTGTACCAAAAATGACTGGCAAGGAAGGCAATATGTTGGCACTTGGGGCTATGGGGTGAAGTCAATAGAAAACACTCCCTGCTAACACAGCTCTCCCCCAGTCCTTGGAGCACCTTGTCTTAGTGCGTAGCTCTTTTGTGACAAGTGGAGCTGAGCAATGTTATGAGGTTCATGAACTTCTTTACAGCCTTCTACAGTATTCCTGCTCTCACTTTCTTGTAGGAGGTTTCAGCCCACTGATGTGAAGCCTAATTACAAGCAGCACCTTTTCACCCTTTGTCTTTATCTGAACCTGGAATGTTCAATTTTCTAGAGTATGTTAAAAATGCAGACGGCATGTGGGAAAAAAAAAATGAATGCTTGTATTTTACAGATCAAAAAGATGAGAGAGACCCCTAAAAAAGACAATTACAATAATTAAAATGAGGTGATGATTGGTTTACTAGCTGGTGGATAGCTGGGTCGTCATGATTAACTATTCAGTAGTGAGAGTAGCTCACTTTCATAAGAGAGCAGGAAAACACTCCTGCCAAATCACCACCAAAACAAACAAACAAACAAAGCAAACCAGATTTCTGAAGAGTAATTAGAGCGGGAGAAAAAATTATTAAGAGACTTAGTGTCAGAAACTTTGTCAGTTTTTTATCAGTTGTTCGTCTGTTGAGTAAAGGTCAGACACTTTCAATAAGCACCTATACTGTTTTATTGCATATAGGGTGCTTTAAAGCTGTATAAATCACAAAAACACTGAAAGGATGGGAGGTGGACATACTGAGTGAGAAGCAGGAATAAACATCAGAGGAAGGGAGCCCAAACCAACCTGCATCAGCACCCAGCTCATCCAGCAGCCCTCTGTTTCTCCAGGTAGATCCCAGGTCTTGGTTTCCTAAGGAATTATTGTGCTCTTGCACCACTGCAGCCGCCAAGAGATTGTCCACGTTTACCACTTCTGGGTCTGAGTTTGTGTCTGATATATCATAATGAGCTACAATTGGAGGTCCATCTGCAAAAGGAGAGAAAAGCAGCTGCTGTCAGACATCAGTATACAGTAAGACACCTTTAGAAGTACAAATAAGTTAAGAATTAAGCAATTTCCTAGCGAGGCTCTTAAAGGAATGTAAATTATATGAATTATTGAACTTTGGATAATGAACAGTCTGATTACAGAGACATTTTAACCTTTGCATGTACAGAAAACACAAAGATGAGGCAGTTATATCTGTATTACCTTTTACATCAGCACATAAACATCTCCGTATCTGACAGCATTACATTTACAATCCCAAAAGTATAGGAACTTCATTTTAAAATAAGAAATGCTCTATTAGAAGACATTAAATTTGCCAAACCATCTAACTAAAGAATTTTACAAATAATCTCAAGCTACAATTTACATTATGGTAGGGCTGATTGAATAAAGCTAACTTTCTAAGTGATCCAGGTGCAATAATTTAACACTAACTTAACACTACCTTACAAAGTTTGTACCTTAAAAACACTAACAAACACTACCTATCCATCAGGGACATGGGAATTTTTCAAAACTGCAATGTTTTGGGCTTTGTTTTCCAAAATCAAGGCTAACAAGAAGCAGAACTATGGTGTGCAGTGATAAATATGCTTTTCCCTAACTGCCATATGTGCTCTTGGCTGCCAAAAATAAGGGGAGGAAAGAGGGAGAGGGAACTTGCATGATTAGTGGAAGCCATAAAGGTGATTTGTATAAAATCAACGTATCTTATAACTGCCTTCAATAGATGTTAATGATAGTCATAAATAATGTTTTTTTCTTGAATTTCTTATGTCTCTAATATTTGAATAATAAAAATGATAACAACTGATTAAGCATTAATAAAAATAAACTGATCTTTTATATGGTGTCTTATCTGTGTAATTTTATTATGATGGCAAGTAAACCTGAGTTCCTGGACAAATCTCACACTCTTACAGAGGCAGACAAGGACATATATGCAAGTATTTGCACATAGCCTAGAGGGGATGTGGAGTTAGCCTGGCTGGCCTCAATGTGTGTATAAGGGTTCCTTGTGTTGTTGGTGCCTGGGATCTGCAAATAGCCTTGGACTTGTGAGAGGAGAACACCCCTATGAAGGTGTTCAAGGGCAGGCTGGATGTCATTGTGGGCAGCCTGACTTAAGTGATTAGCAACCAGCCCATGACAGGAGATTGGAGCTCGATCATCACTAAGGTCTCCTCCAACTGAAGCCATTCTATGATTCTGAAATCTATTTTTGAGGGGTAACAAAAAGCTGGTTTTGGTCCATTTGATTACAGTGGTGTATTTTCTTTTTGAGGTGTGAAAATCTCCCATCGTTGGAAAGCAGACTAGAAACAGAAGAGGCTCAGGAAAAAAAGAAGACGACTACAAGGTAAAGATTAATGTAGGAGCAAAGAGAGATTGGACGAATATTCTAATGTTGAAAGGACACACATCTTAATTCAGACACTTTGTCTCTGCTAATTACTACAGTTTATCAATTCAGAGTGGGTGGCAGCAGTTGGGGTTCCTGTTCCTCAAATGGCAGAATGAAAACTTTGTTTGGGCTCCGTCTTCAGCCATCAAAATGAGCATGAAATGCAAAAATGTTCTGGGCCAAACCATTGCACTTTGCACAGCTCCACAGGAGTCTGAGCAGCTGCATGGCTGGGGGGCTTCTTCATTACATGATACACACACAGTATCACCTCAATGGGACAATAATTATGCACTAAGCAAGACAGGACCTTCAGCACTGCAGAATGACAACAGATTTCTTTTTTAAAAAATGACAAGGAATAAAAAGAAAAAAAAAAAAAAGTTCAGAATCATAGAATCACAGAATCACAGAATGGCCAGGGTTGGAAGGGACCTCAAGGATCATGAATCTCCAACCCCCCTGCCACATGCAGGGCCACCAACCTCCTCAACCTCCTCATTTAATGCTAGACCAGGCTACCCAGGGCCCCATCCAACCTGGCCTTGAACACCTCCAGGGATGGATGGGGCATCCACAGCCTCTCTGGGCAGCTGTTCCAGCCCCTCACCACTCTCTATGTAAAGAACTTCCCCCTGACATCCAACCTCAATCTCCCTTCCCTCAACTTCAAACCATTTCCCCTTGTCCTGCAGTTATCCACCCTTTCAAAGAGTTGATTCCCCTCCTGTCTGTAGGCTCCCTTTAGGTACTGAAGGCTGCAATGAGCTCACCCTGCAGCCTTCTTTTCTCCAGGCTGAACAAGCCCAGCTCCCTCAACCTGTCTTTGTAGTGGAGGTGCTGCAGCCCCCTGATCATCTTTGTGGCTCCTCTGGACCCTCTCCAACAGCTCCCTGTCTTTCTTGTACTGGGGGCTCCAGACCTGGACACAGCACTGCAGATGGGGCCTCACAAGGGCAGAGTAGAGGGGGACAATCACCTCCCTGTCCCTGCTGGCCACCCCTCTTCTGATGGAGCCCAGGATCCCATTTGCTTTCCGAGCTGCAGAGGACACTGCTGGCTCATGTTAAGCTTTTCATCCATCCAGACCCCCAGGTCCTTGTCTGCAAGGCTGCTCTCAAGGACCGCTCCTTCCAGTCTGTATGGATGCCTGGGATTCCTCTGGCTCAAGTGCAAAACCTTGCACTGTGCTGTGTTGAAAGGGAAGTCTGGTTTCATTTAGAAGGAGCAAATGTCTACTGTTGAAGACAGAAAGAATGCAACGAACTGAAAGATTCAAATCTAAGTATCTGAAGAGCTCTTCCTAGTAAGGTTTTCCTGAGTAACTTGTTCTCTGAAATATAATTCAACACAATATTCTAAGAACAGCCAATTATCATTAGCAACACACTTCAATAAAGAGTTACTATATTTCTTAAGTAGTATTGCTTCAGTTTTGCAATGAGGTATGAAGAAATCCACAAAACAGAACAAACAAAAAGAAAAATCAGACCAGACCTGCCTCCAAAACAACGACTCTGTAAAATGACATTATATTACAAACTTAAAACAGACCCGAAAAAAAAAATAAAAATAAATGAGTAGTTAAATGCCAATGTATCAAAGACCAATCTGTTCACAACATGAAACACTGATGATTACGACTGGAAAAGAAATCCTGATAATTAACTGAAAGGCAATCTTTTGCTTTGGAAAAAGCAATTACAAAATAATGGCTTTCCCAGCTCAGGATTGAGCTGGCTGCTCTGCAAATTATTTGTGCAAAAGGATGGCTGAATTACATGCAGAAGACAACTGGACCAAATCACGAGTGGAATGTTTCCTTTCAGTCTTATCATCAGAGTTCAGGGTGAACATGTATAATATGGCCCATAAAAATAAACAGTTGAGTGCAGAAGATACGAGGGTCAAGTACAATATTGACTATTTGACCATTCTGGAAGTAGGTTATTTCTAAATTTCAAGACCTGTGTCCTGCTCCTTTGAGTCTTTGTTTCTCTCACTTCTTACTAATACCTCCAAAAGCAGAAGCGAGATTTGATTTAGATAGACAAGTCTGCACAAGTACAATTATATTTGGACAAAAGGCACCAATAGTCTCAAGTCAAAATTGTACCACTCCTACATGTATAATCATGCAAAAATGTATAATAAATGTATATACATGCAGAGTGATATTCTCATCACCTACCCATAGAAATAACTTGTGCGAAAGTCTTCATCAGTAGGAAATACAAGCATAAACTTGTTATCTGTAGCTCCACTCTTGTATCTTCCACACTTCCAAAGAGCACACCTTATGACTTAGCTTAAATTTAGTATACATCAAACAGACAAAAATATTTTCAATATAATTTACATACTGTAATTATATTTGTCAGCGTTACGAGCCACCAATTTAAAGTTCTGCAAACAAGCAAGCTGCCTATTCACAAGGCAACTAAGCTGAGGAACGTTTGTGCTTCTCTCAGCCTTGCCTTTCAAAAGCAGATTTGGAGTTAAAGGACCCTGGTGCCAGGGTTACCCATATCTACCATCAGCGAATGGCCACAGTAACTGCAGCAAGCCCTAGGAAATCCAACACTCATAGGAGGAAATAAGCAGTAAATGCTTCGCTGTGTCACAGAGACAACGAGATGCAAATTGCAGTGAAGGCATATCCAAAAACCCTCTAAAATACCTCAAATCCCAAAAGCCTGCTTCCTTTTGCATGCCACAGGGACAGGACAGGAGGGGTTAAGTTAGGAAAGACTTTGCTGGCCAACTACACCATCATCTGATGATGTGATGCAAAGCGACGGCGTGGTGCCAAGGAATCTGGGTGACTGGCTTCAGCTGGGAAATGAGAACTGAAAAAAGGCTTTCAGGTTGGAAAGGTAAAAAGATCCACTGGAAGCACAGCCGGGTATTTTATTGGTTTGTCTTTTGTGGAGCTGCTCTTCATCATAACCAGTTGTAAAAGATAGAAAAAACAAAGGCAGGAAAACAAAACCATGATGGAATCACAGTTTAATGCAGCAGAATTAGGAGGATTGCTCCTCAGTAATTTAAATAGAACCTTTAGCAAAAATTGCATCTCCTGAGAACCCAAGGTAGATGGAAAATGTGTGTTTCACTGGTGATAGGCTATAATTCACTATTAAAGCATGAAATGCTTGAAAAAGACAAGGGCTGAAAGTTAATAAGTACCAGCAGCAAAATACAGCTGTTGACATTTACTGTGAACAGGAGGAGGGAAAGACCGTAAGGATTTATTGTTTTTTTTTAGAGGTCATCGCAGGGACAACGCTTCCAAGTGTCCAATTCTCCCTTAATTTACAGAGCTCATCAAAACTAAAAGCAGTGATGCCGTACAAGGCGCTGTTACCTTTGTGCTGCGATAGCTGTTTATCAATGCAGTTTATCATAGCAGCTTATCATAGGACAAAAAGGGCATCAGAACCTGAAATGGGGAATTCAGCCCTGCAAGCTGTTCTGGCTCGTCTTAGATTTGGGCACGGAGCCCTCAGCTCACTGCTGGATGTAGGAACTCTGGGGGTTCTCATACAGGAACGGATGATGAAGGCTGATG